GATTTATGTTATTATTTATCTTTTCCTGGTGTGACGAATGTCTCTCTGCGTGTTGCTGTGATGTGAGAATAAAGTTTCACTGCAATAAAAGTAGACATGTAGCAGTTATGGAACCATTTATAGCCTTCTGTGAATAAGGCCTGAACGGGAATTTTGAGGTATCGCATTTAGTTTTATTTTCCGCTTACTCGTGTTTAACAAAAACAGATGTGTGCCTCTGCCAGAGAGGAAATCCACATCTGAATGACTGGAACCGGTAGCACAAAAACATCCCAAGCATCCCACAGAGGTACAGGGCAGCCTGACGTTTTTAACTCTTAAAAATGAAATCAAATTAAGTTCAGAAGGAATTTGTTTTCCGCACGATAATAAAAATATCTATTTGGCTTTTTTGCTTTAACTTCAAATATGTTGCTGTGAGTCTACAGGATTTGGAGATCTGACACACAGATTTACAGGAATCCTTGCACCAAAACATGTTTGCTTCCAGCTCTGTTCTTCTGCAAGGAATGTGTCATGTGGGTGTCCGCCCACTGTGGCTTCCACCTCCCCCCCCAAAGACACCCATTTGCAGTAAACTTGGTGATGTTTTCAGCCAATTCCCTACTGTTCCTACGCATAAACAAGCCCATTCTGAAGGGCTGATTGCAGCCAAACTTTCGCAAGAGAAGAAAAAAAAAGGTGTGGGGGCGTAAAATTTTTGGATGCCCTCCAGCTCATTAAAGTGTCATGTTTCAGCCTCAGAGATTCATGAACCGCCTGCTCACTGGTGAGCACTGAGACACGGACTCCACTTGTAATTCACAGGCAGGAAATCCACCCAGATGCAAACAGACAGATGTGTGTGTGTCCATGTGTGTTTTGGTGTGTGTGTCTGAGGTAAGAACCAACACAACAAGGCTGGCTATCGTTCAGACCACACAATCATTACAAGCACAGCGAGTGTATTAGTGTAATTGGGTAATGAAGGTGAGGCCAGGAGGGCCGAATGTTATTTCTCAAACATGTAGACTGGGAATGTGCGGCTTTGTAAGTCTATCTTCGTAAGGAGCCGTTTGAGTTTTAGACCTTGAGGACATTTTTGGAAAGTGAGGAGAGTTCTGCTTTTTGGAGCGAGCTTCAAAGAGGTGTTCGAGGGCTAAGAGTTGGTTTCCAAGTTAAGGTTAGAATTAGACCGAGGTCAGGCATGCATGCATGTGTGCATCTGTGTGTTTTTCTCTTTATTACACACCGTGTGAGGGAGCCAGCACGTCAACTACAAAGACACACTCACTACATTTATAATCTTGGATCTTTCTTTGTCTCAGTGAGAAAACTTCCCCATCTATTATTCATTGAAGCTTTAGTTTTGCCCCATTCTGTTTTACCTTTAACACGTTAACTCAATCAGCTGTGTAAGCTTTGACTCTTTCCCAGCACTGCCAGTTCAATTTGCAGGTTTTACATGACACCCATTTCTACAGCTGACTAAATATTTACACTGGTAAAGTAGCTCGCTCAAGGGTACACAGTGATATCCCAACTGGGTTTTGGACCTACAATGTGTTAAAAACCTTCTTTGCATATGGACTCTGTGCACCTGACACTTGATGTGGCTCCATGTATTTGATTTATCCTGCTGACTGACAGGACACAGACCTGAACATTTTATGTGCCACGAGAACCTGAGATTGTTGCTTTTTGCTGTGAATATTGCCCAGAAACACTGCTGTGGTGTAAAATATTAGACTTTAAAGGGTTGTCAGTAAGTTAAACGCTCACCCTAGTTCACCGAAGCTTGTAATAAACTGTCGGTATGAATAGCCTGCGTTTGCTTTAAAAAGTTAAGAGTGTTTGCACACAATATTTAAATGATGCATTCAGAGGCAGAAATCTCAGCTTTTTATTATTGTGCCCCATACACCGCACGGTTACAGAAGCACTCGTTTGACCAACATTTAAACAACAACCATGAACCTTAATACTCACTCGGGGTAATGGTGTCCAGTTTGTGGCAGGATTTAAAGTTACACATTCAACACACATGAATCTTTGCTCTTACTGGATTTTAGCCGTAGAAATATCAAACAGAGCGCTAAATGAAACATGCACAGTCCTGTGAAAAAGTACATTTCAACAGGACTCTATTCAATCCTACACGCACCTTTACTGCTTCCATAGGAAACAACAGGAACTGGCAGCCAGCTGCTACTAATCAAGTGCACTTTATTAAATAATCAGCAACAGTAAGCGTGGGCATCTCCATCAAAACAGAAATGTTGTCTGTTTGTAGATCTGGAAGCTTCAGGTGTGTGTCAACAAAATGCCACAACCTACCCAGGAGGGGACATCCCAGCAAATTCACCCCAAGGTCAGACCGTGCCATACAA